TGCTGGCGGTACCGCCCCCATCCCGCCCCCCACCCCCAGTGACCTCACACTGCTGCAGGTACCGCCCCTCTGCCATAGCCCCGCCCCCAGTGACCTCACACTGCTGCAGGTACCGCCCCATCCCATCCCCCATCCCCAGTATGGTCTTTTACCCATCAGTATGTCCCAGAAACAAAATTCTTTGTTTTACTGGGATGACGTCTATTTCTTTTCCCTTTAGTGCGACCCTCATGTTTATCTTCATCTTTCCTATGTCACAGCTGGCGAAGGCTGCAAAGCGGAACAAATTTGTGAAGACCATCGCCCTGCCTGAAGCCAATGTAGGGGTGGAGTCTGAGACCGTGTGAAAAGCAAAACAAATTTGTGAAGACCATCGCCCTGCCTGAAGCCAATGTAGGGGTGGAGTCTGAGACCGTGTGTAGTGTGGCCGGCTGGGGCCGCACTATCGCTAACGATAGTTCATCTGGTGCCAACGCGCTGCGGGAGGTGGACGTGGAGGTGCTGGAGGATGACGAGTGCTCCAAGTATGCTAAGTCCGACCCGGCGACCATGCTGTGTGCGGGGCACCCAGAGAAGTGCAGAGATTCTGCAAAGGTAAATCTGCCCCTGGCTTGAATCTCTGAGGGAGCGTGTCAGTGATCGGGCTGCGACAAGAGGGCTTATGAGGTGTGAGGAGCCACGGAGGGGCTGGGTGCATTGGGGTGTCACTGAGCCGGGGAAATGACTTACTCAGCAGTTTTACATCTGTGGCCTGGTTTGCTCTGCAGGGCGACTCTGGTGGCCCCCTGGTGTGTGATGGAAAAGCCCAGGGCATCGTCTCCCGGGCATCCGAAGAAGGGACTCCCCCTAATGTGTACACAAGAGTCTCCGCTTTCCTCAGCTGGATCCAGGATGAAATGGGTCGGTTGCAGCTCTAAGCCCTGCCCTGGGTCACTGCACAGCCCGGCTCTGCCTCGCTCCTGTGCCTTGGAGAGGCCCAGAAGTCAGGCCTGCTCGGCAGAGGGGCTGAATGCCCCACAGCCCAGCCTGAGTTTCCTCCCCCCTGCAAGCTGCAGTCCCCTCCCCCAGCCGCTGTTCTGCTCTGGTTGCGCAACGAGGTGGGAGAGTTAAAATCCAGGTTCAGAGCCGGGTTCTGTCCCTTGGCTAGGGGATGGCTGGGGTGCATTATTTAGCTTGTCATACACTA